CTGCAAAGGTTTTCAATGAAGACAGAGCAGTGTTTTGGGAAATGGGTATTACAAACAAACAAAAAATTGTTTGACAAGTGATTGACAAACATTTGAGGTGGCAAAGGGTAAACACGCTATTCAAACCTGCCCCATCACTTACAGTTTCAGAACTGTGATGAACTGCCACTAAATCCTTTGGCTTCTCCATGAACTCCAGAAACCGAGATTTTTTTCTTTTCTGGTTCTCAGACTCGGTCTCGCAAGCTGAGCAAACCCTACAGCGACTGCACGGAGACTGGTGCTGACATACCGGTAGAAAACCTCTATAACAAGAGCTACTCACTGCAGGTAAATCTGTTACATCTGGCTTTATCAGTCACTTGAAAACTGCCTTTGCAGAACACTTTACAACATTCTGTAGTTCCGGATCTGAGATTGTGAACAGCCCAGCCATAAGATCATTGCTTTTAACCACTGATGTAAAATACCACAGCACTTTTAAAAATCCAAGTTTTATTCCTAAGTGCTTGATGTTTGAAGTTCCCCTAGGCGCCCTGTTAGATAAAGAGAGAACATGAGCTCATTAGGCAATTTTCAAGCAATGTGAGACTGGAAAATATTGGCCAAGTAAATGTTGCAGCTTAGTAACCCTTGAAGCCAGAAATTGTGACCTTTAGGACTCCAAGAATAACAGATACCATCTAATCAGTATCCAGATAGCAGACTGTTTGTTTACAGAGTAAGTTTCCACTAATTTTGCATAGTTTCTGTAATTGGCTCCTCTTGGAGAGTGTCAGTTGTTCTGGCACTCTCCACCTGAAGAATTGTAATTATATTAGCTGCTGCCTGCTGCAAAGCCTGGTGCCTAGCTGGATCTTTAGTTTATGGGGTGTTGTACCTGAAACCTGCTGTGATGTATTGCCAGGTAGGATCACACAGACATTATCTCAGGTTTTAATGACAGTACTTCACTGAAACTCAGTGCTCAGGAGGGCCGGGACTGGCACCAAAAGGCTTGACAACTGGGATTTCGAAAAGAGAGGTTCAGTTCCTGCTTGTTCCAACTGATTAAGTGTTTTAGCGCAAAACACTGACTCTACTGCCCTATTAATCCTTACGACTTGAGGCCTCCAAATATGCACCGACACAATTTAGTTGAAGGTATGAGCGTTTTCACCAGTGAGTCACTTCCTACAGCTGGTTGTTGATGCATGGGCCACCTGCCACGGCAGACCGAAAGCCTTCTCCTTGGCTGTGGAAAGAGCACTTTTGAAGGGCTGTGGGGGAAGTGGGGGCATTCCCAGAACAAACACCACCCCCCGCCCAGAGAGGATTACATTCTTATTTCTTGCACTAGAGCCCAAGCCCTCCACAGCACTTTCTGCCTGCATTTGTATTCACTAGGAAGAGAACCTGAAGGCCCAGGGAAATGGGGTTCCCATCTCCTTGCTGCTATCCTAGAGGATCGGTTTAAGTGCACACGAGCCTGGACCTTGGCGTTGCAGAAGCGCAGCAGCCTGTGCTTCTTAGACACGAGCTTGTGGCTTTGTCTCCCCAGATTTGCCTGCACTCCTGCTTTCAAAAGGCCATGGTGGACTCCTGTGGCTGTGCCCAGTACGCACAGCCCTTACCTGCCGGGGCCGAGTACTGCAACTACAAGAAAAACCCCAACTGGAGTAAGTACCAAAACACCTTCCGCATGGCGTGTGCCCCCGCCACCCGCTCCGTCACTCCGCAGCACAGCCCGGCTGCTCCCAGCACCTGCCCAGGCACACAGCACTGTGGGGCAGAGCAGGTCTGCCCCGGCCCATTTCAGACCTCACGCTGCAGAGCCTAAAAACCACCTCTCTGGTTTGGATTAACTTGTTTCTGACAGTCGTCCTAATTGCTTGTCATTTGTGCACACCACGGAAGTGTCGCGTGGAGGACTTGACCGGGTGAGGCAATTGTTTGTGCCTACAGCAAGTGACAACCACTTCTCAGAGTATTTTGCAATATTTATAGGGTAAATCTTTTTATCCCCACCTCGTAGGCGATGGCCACCTACACCCCAGAAGCCCTGCTCCAGCACAGGTAGCAAAGATCATTCCTTTTCTTTCTGGCTTCTCAAACACGTGTCCTGCTCCCTTCTTGCAGTGTACTGCTACTATAAACTGCACGAGAAGTTCGTGAAGGAGCAGCTAGGCTGCCAGCAAATCTGCAAAGATGCCTGCAGGTAAGTCCTGCCCATGGCCAGAGGAAATGTGCTGCATGTACGTGGGAGTCTGAGCTCCCAACTGACAGCCTGCCTCTCTCCCCAGCTTCAAGGAGTGGGCACTCACCACCAGCATCGCCCAGTGGCCGTCCACCGCGTCAGAGGTCAGTTCCAAATTATGCTCAATTCCTAGTTGTGCTCAGCCAAGACAGCAGCATGGCACAGCAAGGCATTAGATAAAGCCAGAGGTTCAACGACAAGCAGGGGGGCTCCCAGGTGTTTGCTAGCACTTCAGTGATGATCCTCCCAGAGGCTCCAGGTCAGGGGTTCTGCTCCAGGAGTTCCCCACTCAACTAAAATTCGGCTTGTGGGCTGGGAGATCCCCTTGGGGACAGCTGCTCCGTCACCCTCATTCATTGCCGGCACTCGAGCTGGTCTGAGGAGATGTGGAATGTGAGCTCCCTTTCCAGGGGATTTCTACACAAGTGCACACAGCTATAGCAGTATTTTCTGTCCTTTTTTCCCAGGACTGGATGCTTCGAGTTCTCTCTTGGGACAAAGGGCAAAAAATCAACAAGAAGCTGAACAAGTAAGTTTCCATGCATGTGCTTCTAGCTTGTACCTCAAGCTCAGATATAATCTCAGCAGCCCTAATGATGGCAATTGGGGAAAAAGCTCCCTTAGAGCGGCCCAGCCCTACTGGTCCAACTGGTTATTTACATAGTTTTTCAGTATGTTTTTTGTTATTGTTTTACTAAACCCTCAGCCTGCTTTCTGTTTCCCCTTCTCAGGACGGACCTTGCAAACCTCATGGTGTTTTACAAGGACCTGAACGAGAGGTTCATTTCGGAGAATCCTGCCAACACAGTAAGCGAGCGCAGCAGTTCCCCGCTCAGCCCGGGGAGAGGCGGCTCTTCCTCCTAGGGTGGCTGGAAGCGTACATCTGCCGGGGGGAGCGGTCCCACCCCGGCAGGGCAGGCAACTGCCATCGGGTGATGCTCCCTGGGATGCTCAGGCCTGCCCTTTGCTGTGCTTTTATCCGGGGCCACTTTTCAAACTGTGTGGTGCCAAACCCTGTGCCAGGGCAGCCATGAGGCCACCTGCAGTGAGCACAGAGGATGATGCAGGCAGAGGAGGAAGGGCTCACTGCTCACATCAGCCTCTTGGTGCCCCGGCTTGGCATGGCCTCCCCCCCTGCCAAAGCGGTGCTGTGGACACGCACCCA